TTTTTTGCGCGTAGCAGCTGCCCGCTATTGCTGCACGTAGCTGACCTGCCGACATCACGATCCACGGCAAATCTTGCGAAAAAAAAAAGAATGGCAGCGAGGTCACAGTCACACACAGTTGTCAGTGACACAGGGTGCGGGATGGGCTGCAGTCACGAAGCGAGCAGAGTTCCATTTCCCGGGGTAATGTTGTCTACTCCGTATTGGTGAGAAATTGCTGCCCCCGTGACAATGTTGCACCACCCCAGCTGGTCAAAGAAGAAGTTAGCGCCGACGGCTGTCATCTCAACTCGGATGGTATTCCGATCAACACAGCACACTCTACCTTTCACAATTGCAGTTGGATTTCCGAATATCCATGGGGTACGTCGAATTTTTGGTTAAAGTGATTGTAAGGATAAGAATTTGATCATATTCCGATTGATCGTTTTTAGTGAACGAATGAGGCAGATAATTATGCTTCTCCGCGTTCTCGATAAGCCCGGAGAATTTGATAAGTCGGACATGAGGATGGACATTCGCTAAAGCTGCGCTCGGGGATAAGTTGCAGGTGTTCGGATCATGGCTCCGGACCAAGCTTATTTCAACATCCCCCCTGTCAGATTGTCATCACGAAAAACCAAAAGTAAACACAAGTCTTCCGTTCTAGCCGGAAAACAGCTATAGCTGCCATCGATTCTAGTGTAAACCTTGGGAAAAGGGTACCACGTGTGAGGGAAAGCTCGCGCCAACGGCCTCCGAACAAAATGTTTCGTTCTCTTTCTTTTTCTCTTCCTCTTTCGAAGGAACGACCTCGGAAACTGAAACAGACCAGGGATGAACCTGTTCAACCTGTCATCTCGGGTACACAAGCCACTCCTCCGCCCAGCTCGGGCCTTCTCGTACGACCCGCACTTACGCTGACGACTTTCCGGAGTGGCAGACGGCAGTTTGATTGAGAAGAGCGGGCTTATTGACGCCGAAGAGAGAGGGTTCCGGTTGACGACAGGCGGCTGGATCACCTGAGTGCCCGCTACGCCAGAAAGTTGAGGGGCGCAGCTCGCTTGCTGCCCTCCCAGAGCAGCAAACGAAAGGGGGGTGCCTGATCTCGCAAAAGGTTCGCCAAGTTGAGCCAAGTTGACAGAATGGGCGAAAAAGGGTGGGGAAAATAGGCCATGATTGGAGGAGTCGCCAATTCTTCCCTGACCAAGGAGTTGCGCGATGAAACGTCAAACTCTCCACAGCCAACTGGGAAGGACGAGTAAATCGAGTATAGTCTAGTCAAAAGCCGGGTTGGGTTGCTTCTTGTAGGCTGTGGCTGGCCGGGCTTGCAGTTGGCTTTGGCAGTGTTTGGTAAGCAAAAAGAAGCGGTTCGTCCCTTCTCTGCCGTAGCCGAGTACTGTAGTGTAGTACAGAGTATGGACTGGGCAATATGGATGAAGCAGACGCATGCCTGTCGGCTCCTCTTTGTCTTGTTAGTCTGACGGGTGTTGTGACCGGGGGAGGCTATACCAGGGTTACATTTTCGTCTGGTGTCGTCTGCTGATTGCTGGTGAGTATTTTCTTCCGGTGACTATTGAAGCGGGGATTTCCAAGAGATGGGTTCGTAGGATCCCGTCAATTAGACGAAGGGACGGGACGGGTCTGTCTAGTTGATGCTCCGGAAAGGGGGTACCAAGCAGAGAGAGAGGTGGAGGAAGATATATACCACGCCTGGGAACAGGATTTTCACGAAGAAGGAGAGAAAGAAAGGGAAGCTTTCCTCGTTCTTTGCCAGTTTTCTTCTTTACTCTGAGAGGGACCCTTCTGTCTCCCTTTCTTTCCATTCTCTTTGATCAGAGAGTCCCGATAATAGCCCATCGTCATCGTCGATCGATCGTCGTCGCCCAACATGCTCGCCTCCCTCGCCTCCGTCTTCCTCCTCGCCCTCTCCACGGCCAACGCCGCCCTAACTTACAAGGGTGTCGACTGGTCCTCGACGACCATCGAGGAGAAGGCCGGCATCAAGTACAAGAGCAGTGCCGGCACTTCCCAAGCTCTCGAGACTATCTTCAAGAACGCCGGCGTCAACTCGGTCCGCCAGCGCGTCTGGGTGAACCCGTCCAACGGCGACTACAACCTCGACTACAACCTCGCCCTCGCCAAGCGCGCAAAGGCGGCCGGCCTCTCCGTCTACCTCACCCTGCACTTCAGCGACACCTGGGCCGACCCGACCAAGCAGGCCATCCCGTCAGGATGGCCCTCTGATATCGAGAACCTCAGCTGGAGGCTCTACAACTACACCATGGACGTCAGCAACGCCTTCCAAAAGGCCGGCGTTCCCCCCGCCATCATCTCCATCGGAAACGAGATCCGCGCGGGTTTGCTCTTCAACACTGGCAAGACGTCCAACTGGTACAACGTCGCCAAGCTCCTCAACTCGGCCGCGTACGGCATCAAAGACTCGACCCTGAGCCCCAAGCCCAAGATCATGATCCACCTCGACAACGGCTGGGACTCGAACCTCCAGGCCAACTGGTACACCAGCCTCTTTGCCCAAAACGTGCTCAAGACCACCGACTTTGACATGATGGGCGTCTCCTACTACCCCTTTTACGGATCCGGCGCCACCCTTGCCGCGCTCAAGTCGAGCTTGTCCAACTTGGCCTCCAAATGGGGCAAAGAGATTGTCGTCGCCGAGACCAACTGGCCCACGAGCTGCCCCAGCCCCGCGTACGCCTTCCCGAGCGATCTCAAGAGCATCCCCTTCTCCGCTGCCGGTCAGACCACCTTCCTGAAAAAGGTTGCCGAGGTCGTTGCCGGTGTCAGCAACGGAAAGGGTCTCTACTACTGGGAGCCCGCATGGTGAGATTCTCTTAATTCATGTTTACTTATCATAACATCTACTAACAAATTACAGGATGAACAACCAGGCTCTTGGCTCTAGCTGCCCTTCCAATACCCTGTTCGCGTACCCCGGTACCGCCTTGTCTAGCTTGGATACCTTCAAGAGTATCTAAGAGGGCGTCTTTTCACATTGATGACAGGATATCCAGGAGTAGGTTGTGGCGGACGGAAGCTTGTTTATGTTGACATCAGCTCGTCTCATAGTCATCGGAGAGCCTTTTCTTCGAGATGGAGGCTGCGTAAATATTGTTTACTTTCAGCACGTATATATATTTAGCGTTGTTCGTACATAGTTGAGCTAGGTGATGCATGAGCCCTGGCGGTATATAAGCAATCTTTATCAGTTCAATCATGATGCCCGACTACATCTCACTCATTCTGGATCAATGCGCAAATCCTTTTGAACGGTTCATTAAGAGGTCAGCTATGTTATGGACCAAGACTACACGGTTTTGTCTCATACCACTTTTCCCAGTCACCTCCATCTCATGATAAGGGGTGTCTGGAAGCCTTGTCTGCTCTTGGGCATAAAGTATGGTACCTCACTTTTGCATATGAATACCGTAGTAAAAGATGAGCCTCGTGTATGTGCCTCTCTCTTTCTCGAAAACTCGTCTGGATTTGCAGCCTTTTTGGGTGAACCTAGCTGCTCCGCGTGATCCTGTCTATTTCTCGCAGATGTAGTCTGGGTTTGCGTGTATTAGGAAGGTACTTGTGTAAGTACCTTGAACCTCCTCGGCCGATTGACGTCCTTATAATGATATTGAACTCCCAGAGAAAGTATATGAAAATCAACGGGCCAAGATTCTGTAGCACTATCTCCTGCCGCCCTCAATTTTCTACCTTTATATAAATTCACAACAGGAAGTAAAAAGAGTCCACCTCCCCGGTGCCGATTTGGGGGCTACATCTCTTGGTGCTCATGCTGGGATTCGAACTCGTTACGCCCGTCGAGTAAGGCTGGTTGGCGTGAATAACCAGTGACCGTTAATCCACTCCACCACCCACGCCACAGTTTGATGTGACCCCCGACCTAGAGGGCGCCTGCTGTGCTGGTGATGACAATGGGATTGACGGGACCTATATTGGGGCTTTCTGTCTGGTGCGTATTCGGGTTGGGTGGGGGTGGAAGTGATCGCATGAAAGTTTGGGAGGTGGGTGGCAGACCGACAACTCAGGTAGGCATGCTTTCGTGGGGAGGAAGGTATGGCCAGCGCCATCTACCCTTGGTCAGTGTCACCTACCCGGCTTTATTTCTTTAGACGTGGCGAAGAGATGTCTCGTTGTTCATACATTCATGGATGCATAACAGTACAGCAAGCTAACAATCTCCATATCCCTGAAGGCTATGTGATGATCACTTCCGACCCCGATACATAAATACGCACCCCCCCATTTCCGTTCCAAAAAAAAAAACAACCAAAAACCTGATAACCTCCAGATATTTCCTTACTGCACGGAAAGTTCCATTAACGGCTACTCCCGAAAGAATTCAAGCTTCATAACCGATCCTCCGGACCTTATCCTCCTCCTCAAAGAAGTTTGCTGAAAGTCAAAAGCACCTAAATATTTCATTACAGATCTCGGGCACAAAATCGCAAAACAGCACATCTTCAAGGGATTACAGTCATCTGATACCCAACTCTGCAGAATTTGAACCCTTGAAGGGAGCCTGGGCCTAGGTCTGGATCTTTGCTTCGGCCTTGGCAGTAACCTAAGACATTCCCAGGCCTGGACCGCGAAAAGCTATCTAGACGACCCAGGGAATTGGTCAGTCCTAAAGCTAGGTATATGAGAACGTTTCACATTACTCCCTCAGGTCCAACTGCCTTGTATGCTTGTGTCAACGTTAAATCGCCGATCACTCCCTTCTCGCAGTATTCAACACTGAGGTCTAGTCTGAAAAAGGTAGCAAGAAACTTGGCTTGGCATCTCGAGCTGGTCTAGCGTTGACCCCGAGATCCATATTGTCAGTCACCCCTCGCTAGCAAGGAGGACTGGAATATAGGAAGAAGGAACATAAGGTATGGAAGAAAAGTGAAGGGTGCAATCGAGAGGCAAGACTAGATTCCATCAATTAATCAAGCAAAACAATGCCATTTCTGAATTATCGCTCATTTTCGACCGCACCATTCTCATCCATCCAGCCCATTCTCCTTCCTCCACTCTCTGATCCGGACAAGCAGCTTCTCCCGGCGCGCAAGACCTCGCGGGCTCCAAATACCTTCCTTGGTAGGATAGAACTCATCGAAGCGGGGCTTGCCATCGTCGGCAACCTCAACGAACGGCAGCTTACTGCGCATAAAGATGTAGACGTCCGGACCGCCCAGCAGCGCAGGGGAGTCGAGGGTGCCGACGCGGAGAAACTTCATAAGCGGTCCTGTGCCGTCGTAGTTGCTCCAAACGGGCGTAAGACAGATGGGACAGCGAGAAATGTGCTGAGGGGCGCCCGAGTCGGCGGGGACGGGGAGGATCACGGGTGAAGGGATGTCTGCCTCGACGCGGCGTTTGCCGGCATCATCACCGTTGTCAGCGTGGTCGTCGCCCTTGTCCCTCTTCTCGCTCGTCCCGTGGACATTGTAGGCGGGTCTGGGCTGCTGCTGCTGCTGCTGCTGCTGCTGCTGTTGCTGCCTGGGAGTCCAATCATCAAAGGCAGACTCTGGGAACGCCGCCAGCGGCTGCAGCGGCGGCGATGAGGCGGACGAGGAGGGCTTGCTCGGGAGGAGGGTCACCTCGTCTCCCTCGACGACGGCGTTGAGGGCGAAGGCGGTGCCGGTCTCACGCTGGCAGGAGGTACAGTGGCAGCAGTGGACGACCATGGGCGGGGCATTGAGGGAGTATCGGATATTGCCGCAGGCGCAGCCGCCGGTTAGGGGGAAGATGGAAGGGTCTTCTTCGCCGGTGGGGTGAGACATTGTGGTGTGTCGTTTCTTGTTGACTCGTTGTTTGGTTCGTGTGGTTCGTGTATGTGTGTAGGTGTGTTGTTGTTGGTTCGGCTCTTCCCTTTTCTCGACGGTTGTGGCCCGTTTCGGTCGTGCGTAGGTGGAGAGACCGGGTAGTTTGCGTCCCGGGTGATCAACGATAAAGGGTCCAGACCTGGTAAGATTGCTGACGGTCGACAGGTCTCGGCGGTGTGCCTTTGTTCAAGAATTCCAGATGGTGGTGAGGGTTGTGTTTCTTCGTGCAGGGGAGGTGGGAAGGGGGTGGCAGGTCTGCTGTCTGGGTTGGCAAAAGTGTGTAAGTGGGATGTCTGCGGGGGGCTGGGAAGGAGAAAGTGACTTACATCAGCCTGAAAGAGAGGAGATGTCTCGGAAGGACCCTGAGCCTGGGCAAACAGAGTCAGAAAAAGTGAAAACTTCCTAAAAAGAAGAAATCAACAATGGGTAAGAGGAGGAAGGAGATGGAGGGGAGAAGTGAAACGAAAGGGCGCAAGGAGTAGGAGAAGGAGGGCAAGGCTTTGTTGACAGGCGAGGAGGTGAGGGAATTCGAGCGTGCCCAGTCAGCGTTGAGGTGATGGCCTGAATAGGCAAGTTTCTTATCTAATCGCCGCAGATGACACTTTTCCCCTCTTCTGCTGTGCCCTTTTGCCTTTTATTACCCTTAGACAGACAAAACCAACCAGGAACAAGCGAAGTAAGCTGACAAGCAGCAGATGATCATTTTTCTTCATGATAAAATTGAGCAAGTCTTGAAGTTGTCCTGTGATCCATCTAGATATGATTTGTCGTTTAATGGACACGACAATCGTCTGCTACGGATAACCCTTGAACCAGACTCGTACACACGAATTTTAGGCATAGCCTGACGATCGAAGTCTCCGCATCCTATGGAAAAGTCGGTATGGCAATCCCTAAGACTGAATGAAGCACTGGTGCTGTACGATTTTCTTGGCTCCGGGGGTTCTAGGCATTTTGAAGAGGTCATAATTGACAGGTGTGGTGTTGTGAAGGAAGGGGTTGGGTGGTTGACTCAGACAGACCCTGGAAGGGGGCTCTCGCGCCCCACGGCTTACAAGTTACACCGGGCTTGAAGCATCACAGGGTCTGAATCGTTCTGACCTAGGTGGGAGGCACACACCGAGACGGAGGAGGGCCGCATTCCGATCGACGGCGGGTTTTTCATCGTTTGACGCCGGCGTGATTGTTCCAACTTTGGACACCGTTAGATGACGTTTGTGGTGTTTTTTTCTGCGTCATTTGTCTGGTAGCAGAAAAAACCGTTGAGTCTGAAATATAAACCGTCGGCGCCCTCCAGTCCCGTTCCAGACCTCTCGAGACAGCCAAAAATCACAAAACACAGTAAAGGGAACGAATATTTTACCAACCTCAGCTCTGGAATTCATCAAGCCCAGCCAGCCAGCCACCTCGAGATCGAGTCCAGGATTTAAAAACGCCACGCGAACCCGCCAACGATAATGCAGCCCATTGCCTTCTTTGGAATTCTGCTGCTCCTCTCTTCGCAAGCACAGGCCGCACCATCGTCGCTTCACTCTCACCTCCAGCGCCACAGAGAACGCGCCGCAACACACGCTCACTTGAGCCATCAGCACGCAAAGTTGAACAAGAAAGCCGAGCCAGCCGAGCCCGAACCCGAAGCGATGAAGACCTTTAGAGACATCGTACCACTATTTCAAAATCTCATTGCCACAGAAAAGCCATCAGCACCGTCGCCCTTTGTCGAATCGACCTTGACGCATCCTCCTTCCAAGCAGGGTGATGCATCAGATCATGTCGACTCAGACTCTGAAGACTCACAGCAACTACGGGTCGTGAGGACGAATTCAGTCCGCGAGCAACAAACGTTGCCTGACCGGGCTAAGCTGGCGGCGATGGGTCGAGGGCAAAGCCGGGTGAGGTCGGTCGCGGATATTGTCGACAGCCGGCATGCCGACTCTGCGATGCGATTGCTGCGTGCTCACGCTGTTGTCAAGCACAATAGATTTCAGCGTGAAATTTGAGAAAGCGAGGATGCCTGATTTCGAACGCTTTGCTTGTATTTAGATTTGGCATAGTCGAATTTTCGACAGTCATGGTTCTGGCGGCTGTTGACTAAGCCACCCGGTAGTTTGTGTGTGTGTGTTATATGCGGGATGATGAGACGAAGATCCTAAACCCGCCGCGGGATCGGCGGGACGCGCGACGAGAGTACTTGATGATAGGGCTGGCGATAATTTTAGAATGCAGAATATACCACTTTTGTTCGCCTATAATGGACGCTTGGTCTTGATCTTCGAGGTGCCTTGCTTGATGCTGATCGTTGGCCGGCACGAAAAACCTGCTGGACTTGTCTGAGAAGAATTGGATACTGAAATGCGATTGTCGGTGATTGCGTCAAGTATGGGGATGAAGTTCTCCATTTGTTGCAGGGAAAGCTGGTAATCGTAGGCATTCTGTTGGCAAAACTGTGTCAGCAGCGCTTCCGTATCCCTGTTAGCATCGAGTAACACTGTAACAGCGGGCTGCTCAAGTCTCTCGGAGACAAGAATCGTCTCGCCAGCAGGTTCTCAGTCTGAAGCGGCTAAAGAAACGTTGGCGGTTCGAGATGCCTCCCTTTCGTTATGACGGCATGCCGATGACCTCGGAATACTTGGCACTTGGTGACTTTATCGTCTTGAGGCGGCAACGGGATCATGGAGTACATTGACGATTGACAACCTGTCACTGTGATTTTTACACTGCCTTGAGGCTCAGGCGGCGAAAAGATGAGATGTGTTTTTGTTTCGAATCGAGTCAAGCCGTCCCGTCATGTTTTCTTTGCGCACGGAGAACGGGCCCACGATCCATCAGGGTGACGATCACCCGAGCCGTGAATCTTTTTTGAAAAATTACTGTGTTTAAGCTAGTACCTCCAGCCATTAATACAGTCTAACGCAATATCGAACACGGTCTATTACGGACCCACTGATTGGTGCATAAAGCCGGACCTCCACCGAAGCTGGCCCTCCGATGGTGATGTGCAGATACGGGGTGCGAGGTACTTTAATCTTGGCGCGCTCAAGTGGCCCGGGTATTTTCCGTCGCGGTTTGGCTTCGGGGATTGGTGCACCTCAGCTCTTCCCCCAGGATGAGAAGTCGCCAGCAAAGCAGCATTTCCGAGGTATTGTCGACCTGGCTCTTACTCGCTTGACACCACTATACATTGCGTACCATTTACTTGCCCTCGTCTGCCCATCCTGCCAGCTCACTTACTTTCCATTGACAGCACCCCAGTGGCTAGTCACGGGAGCCAAATTGTCGATCCCACTCCTACCTACCTACCAGCCATAGCTCACCTACCGTCTCCTTCATCCCCTTTTGACACTTCTCGACTTCACGATAGCGCGCGCGACGCCTACAACCACGCACCCCTTTTTTCGACACCCGACAATTCACCAACACCGTATCTTTGCTTGCGATCACCAACGAGCCTTCACACTCCCTGCGCCGTTATTGGGGAACTTCCTCCAGTCCATCCTCCTGTTGCCCACCAGCTTCGAAACGTCCTGTTCAAAGCGCCCAATTGCTGGGGAAGCTCCGGTACGCTTGGGCTTCTGCATCGTTACACAAAAGGGAGCCCCAAATCGACAGCCATTCCTCGATTTTTATCCCACCATTGTCGACTCCTTGCCAGCGTGGCATTCACCGACATAGCCCTACGAGGAACGCACCGCCTGTTGTACCATCTTGCCGCTCGGCATCGACGTGTTCGCGACTCTCAATACCGACTCCTCGAATCTGCTTCCCTCGTCGCGATTAAGTACCCTTCCAAGCGTCGGCCGTTTCGCGACACAAAATCTTCGAGATGCCTTCGCAAAGGCAGTTGCGCACCCTCCTTGTGGGTGTGCTGATTGGTGTCGTTTTCGTCTTATTTTACACATCTTCTTTGCGAGCGAACGAAGTCAAAGACGAGCGGACCATTCAAGATTTCTACCACAAGACGGTCAATGGGTTGAAACATAAACAACCGCCTGGCCAGGCGGTGCTAGAAGGGAATAAACCCAAGGCAGCTGGCCACGTGCCTGTTGACAAAGATGCCGATGGCGACGTTGACGCCGACGACGAGAAGCTCGCCAAGGATATGCAAGGACGCCTGAAGGCCGCCGAAGACAAGGCCAAGGAACTTGCCAATAAGAAATCACCACTGAAGCCTGATGCGCCTAGCGACGTCGTCGGAAAGGGCAACTCCGCTGCTGGACAAAAGAAGAAGGAAAAGACGGCCAACGGCAAAGAAGTTACCGAAACTGACGAGGAGGAAAAGAAGGATGAGAGCGACGAGGAGCATGCCGTTGAGGTTGAGCTGAACTCCATTTTGAAGAAGTCACCAGGTATGTTGACGTCAATACTCCCGAAGCAAAACCAAGCTAACCAGCCCAAGTCATCATCTTTTCCAAGTCGTACTGCCCTTACTCGAAGAAGGCCAAGGCATTGCTGCTCGAAAAGTACTCGATCGAACCTACACCATACGTCGTCGAACTGGATAAGCATCCTCTTGGTCCCCAGTTGCAGGCGTTCCTCGGCGAGAAGACTGGCCGGAAGACTGTCCCCAATATCTTGGTCAATAGCGTAAGCATAGGTGGAGGCGACGACATCATCGAACTTGACAGCCAAAAGAAGCTGGTACCCAGGATCATTGACCTTGGGCAGAAGAAGGTGGAGATGAAGGAACGGTCTGCCAACAGCCAGAAAAACAACTAGCTCACTGGATTCATTCAACTTTTATTTCTACATTTGCTCGACTTCCACCATATGGCATCATCGTGGGGGAGGCGAAGCGGGCATTAGGGAACCATGGGAGTTCGAGCTGGTGGTGGGTACCCCAGTAGTGAACATTGCATATTTCGGCGTTGGGGATCGGTTGAAATCGTGCGCTCTCTGCGGCGAGGACTCGAAGCGACGATATGGGCTCTCGCCAGAGCCTAAAGGTTGGACGAAGCGCG